CTGCATGAAGAACCTGTCATAGAAACACCCCAAAATAGCCTCTCTTGGGAGAATATAAAAAAACAATATGCTGATTTTTATAAATGACAGAGCAGTGCCTGGAAGCCTGAGGTGATAGGGCACCAATAGCGAGAGAAGGATTTGGGGGAAATTGTGGAGCTCGTTTATTTTAAATGTTGTTTTGTTTAAAATGGGAGACTGAAACATCCCCAAGACGACTTCCTGGAAGGCTTCTCCGAAACACTCTTCCTCAGGGGTCCCACACGCTGGTCTTTGAGGACGTTTTCCCTGTCGTTAAAAAGTGAAATTAGGGGGCTGGAGCAATAGCACAAGGGGTAGGGCGTTTGCCTTGCATGCGGCCAACCAGGGTTCGAATCCCAGCATCCCATATGGTTCCCTGAGCACCACCAGGAGTAATTCCTGAGTGCAGAGCCAAGAGTAACCCCTGAGCATTCCAGAGTGTGAGGAATGTAGTTCTCCCAGGGGGAAGGTATTTGATCAGTGTTTTAGAGGTAGTTCTTGCATTTTGATGGTTCTGACACTGAATGAGACTGGCAGGTCACCTGCCCGCCCCCACGCAGGTGAACTCCGGGTGATTCAGTCTGATTCAGCAGCCAGGCCAGTTGGCGGCAGCCCCTTTGGCTGGTCTGTCGGCACATGTGGGGAGTTCTTTGGCACATGTGGGGAGTTCTGCATAGAGAGTGCTGTGGAGAGATGCGATGCCCGGGCAGCAGACGAGAGAAGGGCACTTAAACGCCACGCTGGGGCTGGAGCAATAGCACAGCGGGTTGGGCGTTTGCCTTGCACGTAGCCGACCCAGGTTCGATTCCCAGCATCCCATAGGGTCCCCCGAGCACTGCCAGGAGTAATTCCTGAGCGCATGAACCAGGAGTAACTCCTGAGCATCGCCGGGTGTGACCCAAAAAGCAAAAAAAAAAAAAAGGGAATGGTCCTGTGGAAAACAAGGATTGCTGGTTCCGAGTCAGCAGTTTAGTTATTAAGGTTTGTTTTGAAAAGGAGTATTTAAAATTTATATTGCTTTTAAACACCTAAATTTATATTGTTATTTACTTATTTGTTTTTCTTTTTGGGTCACACCCGGCTCAGGGGACCATATGGGATGCTGGGAATCAAACCCAGGTCGGCCACGTGCAAGGCAAACGCCCTATGTGCTGAGCTATTGCTCCAGCCCCTATATTGTGGTTTTTTTTTTTTTTTCTTTTTGGGTCACACCCGGCGATCCACAGGGGTTACTTCTGGCTCATGCACTCAGGAATTGCTCCTGGCGGTGCTCGGGGGAACATATGGGATGCTGGGAATCGAACCCGGGTTGGCTGTGTGCAAGGCAAACGCCCTACCCGCTGTGCTATCGCTCCAGCCCCTATATTGCTTTTTAAAGGCTAATTACTCTCATGTGTAAATCACTTAGCAAAGAAGTGATGTAGCTTAAGTGAAGTCTAGTAATTCAATTTTTTAAAAATTTTACTTTTTTATAAAGTTGTTCACAAAAATTTTTGCATTTAATATTCCAACACCAATCCCACCACCATTACACCTTCCCACTACCATATTTTGAATGTTTTCACCCCAGCCCCCAAAGCCTGCCCCCAAAGCAGGACCTAAATAATTCATTTTGTATTGCCTATTACGAATAATCCACTAAAAATGATCCAAAAAAATTTCTTAGAGGAGTGTGAAGATTGTTGTATTTTACCCTGAAGGCATTAAGTCATTGTATAAGAGATTAATAACATGTTGTTACAGGTTGAGCCTTGTGTACTATTTAATATATATGTATATATACACACACATATATTATTATTATTTTTTTAAATTTTTTTCCTTTTTTTTGCTTTTTGGGTCACACCCGGCGATGCTCAGGGGTTACTCCTGGCTCTGCACTCAGGAATCACTCCTGGCGGTGCTCGGGGGACCATATGGGATGCTGGGAATCGAACCCGGGTCAGCCATATTGGCTGCGTACAAGGCAAACGCCCTCCCCGCTGTGCTACCGCTCCAGCCCCACACACATATATATTATATATGTTTCTCCCCTCCCCGAGATTGGTTACTTTCTACTTCACACTCCATAAATTGTGGTGTGCTACTACTCTTGGTATGTCAGTGTTGTAGAGAATGAGATTTCACTGCATCACTGCTATAATGCGGCCACATGTTCCAGGAATTCTAAAATTTTAAATATGATTATACAAGGTTAATTTAATTTTTTTTTTGTTTGTTTCAACTGGATGATGACTTTGGAGTCTGGAGGCATCTCTGCGGTGTGTTGCTTTCTTTCGAGAGATTTATTTGTGAGTCTCTAGTTATTAATTTTTAAAGGGCTAAAAATACATATTTTTTGGGGCCAGGATTTTTGTTGTTTGTCTGTTGGGCTGGGGCTCAGCTGGGCACCCCGGGGGAACCTACCTGCTTGCAAAGTGGGCCTGTAGCCACCCGCACAGGACGTTGGTCAGTCTACTGAAAGGTGTCTGTTTGGAATGGGGAATTGGAACAACAGGACAAAAGAAAGTAGGAAAGTTTCAAAACCAGTTTTCTTTATTATTTTATCGTAGAATCATCCCGTTAATTATTGTGCCACAATTCCTAAAAAAGAGGGGCGTGCGCGCGTGCGCGTGTGTGTATGTGTGTGTGTGTGTGTGTGTGTGTGTGTGTGTGTGTGTGTGTTTACGATGTCCATAAGCTTTTGAAATGTTGATTCATATGGGATTCAGTGCTTTCACTTATCCGGGCAGTGTTGTTGAATTGTGTACAGTGTGGTGTTTAGTGTCTCTTTGTTTTGTGTTTGGGGCCACATCTGTTTATTCCCGGCTCTGTGCTCAGGGATCACTCCTGGTGGGATTTGGGGGTCCATTAGGGGTGCCGGGTTGGAGCCCCGGTCAGCCGTATGCCAGACTCGTGCCCTGCCGCTGTGCTCTCTCTCCAGCCCCTTGTTCTAATTTAGTCAGTAAGGAATTGATTAGACAGGTTAAACTCCTCTCATTTTCTTTGAAAGTAGGAGCTAATTTTCCTTGAGTTAATGAGATGACTTTAAGTTTTTGGCCCTTGCTCTCAAATAGAGCGTTTGATTCTGTGTTCGAGTCAATTTTTTTTTTTTTTTTGCTTTTTTCTTTTTTGGGTCACATCCGGCAATGCTTAGGGGTTACTCCTGGCTCATGCACTCAGGAATCACTCCTGGCGGTACTCGGGGGACCATATGGGATGCTGGGAATCGAACCTGTGTTGACCGTGTTGGCTGCGTGCAAGGCAAACGCCCTCCCCGCTGTGCTATTGCTCCAGCCCCTCAAGTCAATTTTAAGAAACTTTCATTTGCCCTCCTGCCTGCTCCTGTGCTCTCACACTGGGATGCGGTTCATTAAGTGACCCGCACATATGTGCTCTCCTGCACACCGAGTAACGGGCGTGCTGCGGTATGGGTGTGCTGCGGGATTGCTCACACACGGGCTCACCAGGGGCTGGACCGCTTGGCCCGGGTGCTCCCTGCGGGTCATCCTCCCCCCCCACCCCAGCCCGGTGATGCTGATGTATGCCCTCCTGCCGCGCAGGTGCAGTGGGGCACTGGGAATTCTTGGGAATGCAGTGGCCAGGTCAGCATCTTGGCAGCAGGCTTGCTAATCCCCGGCACGGTTCCTCTGGAGCCCAGGTGCAAAATTCAAAATAAATGGCATTGTTTTTCTGAAACAGACTTTTTAAAAAAGATATTTTAATTTATCATTGTTCAGATACAGTTACAGACTTACAAACTTTTGTGCTTAAATTTTATTAGAGTAAAATTTCTGAAGGTGTGCTTCACTGGGCACACACTGGCCTTCTAGAATATAACTGTTTCTTCTGGGTTTCCACTGTTCCTGCCACAGCAGCCACACAGGCAGGGCTAACGGCCATGAGGCGAGGGACTGGAGAGAGCACAGCGAGGAGGGCACCTTCCTTGCATGCGGCCAACCTGAGACCGAACCCCGGCACCCCACAAGGTCCACCAAGCACCTCCAGGAATTAATTCCTGAATGCAAAGCCAGGAGTAACACCTGAGCATCACTGGGCGATACCCAAAAACCAAAGGATTCTTTTTTTTAAATTTTCAAATCAAATGAAGGCCACAAGAATGACACTCGCTGGGGCTGGAGCAATAGCACAGCGGGTAGGGCATTTACCTTGCAGGTAGGGCATTTACCTGAGCATCACAGGGACTATTTCCTGAGTGTAAAGAGCGTAGAGCTAGGAGGACCCCTTGAGCACTGCCCTGTGTGATCCAAAGTGTAAAAAAGAAAGAAAAAAAAAGAAAATTTTAATTACAGTTTTTTTTTTTAAAGAAAAGTATCTTTCTTGAACCATGTGGATAGATGGTTTTTTAGGCATCTAAAAAGTTCACCATTAATTATCATTCAAATGCAAATAAAAATGACAATGCTGTCTTACGCCAGTGACAGGGTCCTGTTATAAAAATGGCTGGGAACGGCTGGTGTAGCAAGGATGTGGAGAAAATGGGGGACCAGAAAGGCAAACTTGTGCAACCCCTGTGGAAAGTGATACAGACTTCTCAAAAATAGAACTCGTGTTTGACCCAGCAATTTCAGTCTTTGGCATCTATCCAAAGAACACAAAGCCTTAAGTGGAAAAGCTGTATCCACACACCTATTTCACAGGCAGAGTGGAAATAGCCCCAAGTGGCCCACGGCAGATGAGTGGCTAAGAGAGTTGTGGTGTATATATACATGCAGTGGAATACTACTCAGGAATGAAAACAAAAGATATCTTACTTTTTGTATTCAGTGCGGATGTAGACAGAGTCATGTTAAGAAAAATTAACACTCGGCATTACACGCGAGCTTGCTGGAGACACTGAACTTGGGTCAGCACGAACGCCCAAACTTCGAGTCCTGCTAAATAGACTTGGCGAAGGTTTTGTGTTGTGTGCTGTGTGCGTCTGTCTATAGTACAATGATCGCAGACTTCAGTCTCTCTCTTTCTCTCTCTCTCTGTAGGACCGCAGCTGAATGCACAGCTAGAAGGTTGGCTTTCTCAAGTACAGTCCACGAAAAGACCTGCTAGAGCCATTATTGCACCGTAAGTTTTCAGGTCTTTGTTCAGAAACTTCCATATGGTAACAAAGAAAGAATCATCTGCAGGTTGAACCCAGGGTTGGAAACGAAAACCCGTGTTGAACCGAAGCCTTTTCTTGACTCTCACTGCAACGTAAGGGGAAGGGACGTGGTGCTTTTATCTTCTTAGATGCAGTAATTCTGAAATTATTTTTTGAACGGGGGGTTGCTTATATTACACAACTTAAACAGGGGGTTGCTTATACTACACACATTGGGCGATTTTAATAACACAGCGGTAGGGTGTTTGCCTTGCACGCGGCCGACCTGACCAACCCGGGTTCAATTCCTCCGCCCCTCTCGGAGAGCCCCGCAAGCTACCGAGAGTATCCTGCCCACACGGCAAAGCCTGGCAAGCTCCCCGTGACGTATTCGATATGCCAAACACAGTAACAAGTCTCACAATGGAGTCGTTACTGGGCATACTCAAGCAAATCGATGAACAATGGGAGGACAGTGACAGTGACATAAATCAATTTATTTTTTGGTGACGGGCAGGTTTGGGTCACACCTGGCAGTGCTGGGGCTTACTCCTGACTCTGCTCTCAGGGGTCACTCCTCGCGGGTCCCAGGGGACCGTTAGGGTATTAGGGATCAAACCCAGATTGGCTGCATGCAGGGCAAGCGCCCTGTGTGCTGTACCACTGCTCTGGCCATCAGCTCTATTTTATTTTTGTTTTTTGGGCCACACCTGGCAGGGCTCAGAGCTTCCTCTTAGCTCTGCACTCGGGGATCCCTCCTTGCTGGCTCTGGGGACCCTATGGGGTGCTGGGGTCAAAACTGGGGATGACAGTGTGAAAGGCAAGAGCCCTCCCTGCTGTGCTCGCTCTCTGGTCCCATAAGTTCTATTTATTTATTAATTTATTTTTTGCTTTTTGGGTCACACCCGGCGATGCTCAGGGGTCACTCCTGGCTCATGCACTCAGGAATGACCCCTGGCGGTGCTCGGGGGGCCATATGGGATGCTGGGAATCGAACCTGGCTCGGCTGCGAGCAAGGCAAACGCCCTCCCCGCTGTGCTATCACTCTAGCCCCAGTTCTATTTATTTTTAATTTAATTTTTAAATTTTTAAAATTTATATTGAATCGTCACGAGAGACACAGTTACAAAGTTATTCGCGATTGGGTTTCAGTCAAACAATGTTCCAACACTAGTGCCGTCACTATTGTATCAGTTATTTATTTTTGCTTTTTGGGTCACACCCGGCGATGCACAGGGGTTCCTCCTGGCTCTGCACTCAGGAATGACCCCTGGCGGTGCTCAGGGGACCATATGGGATGCTGGGAATCGAACCCGGGTCAGCTGTGTGCAAGGCAAAAGGCAAGTGCCCTACCTGCTGTGCTGTTGCTCAAGCCCAATCATTGTATAAGTTTTTTTTAATTAATTTAATTTTATTTTTTTACCAATTCTTTTTTTTTTAATTGAATCACCGTGAGATACAGTTACAAACTTTCATGTTTGAGTTTTTTAAAGTTATTATTTATTTATTTATTTGCTTTTTGGGTCACACCCGGCGATGCTCAGGGGTTACTCCTGGCTCATGCACTCAGGAATTGCTCCTGGCGGTGCTCAGGGGACCATATGGGATGCTGGGAATCGAACCTGTGTCAGCCATGTTGGCTGCGTGCAAGGCAAACGCCCTCCCCGCTGTGCTATCGCTCCAGCCCCAGTATAAGTTATTTTTAAACATCATAAAATTCTGCTTTAATTCAGGTAGCTTCTGACTTGTCGCGCAGTATGGAGTAGTATCCAGATTTTGGAAGCGGGGTAGATTGTGAAGATTTTGTTTTTATGGTTTTGGGGCCACACCGGTGGTAAGTGGGGCTGGCTGCTTTGCTCTGCCCTCAGGGATCACTCCTGCCAGTGCTCAGGGGACTCTACGGGATGTTTTTCCCACCTCCCTAACTGCTCCGGAAGTGGAGAGCCTCCTCCAGCCAGTTCCTGCCCACCAGTGCAGTGGTCTGGTACAGGATCTCGGTGCTGGGTCCCCCCGCCGTTTGAGCATCGTGCAGGGGGCACGGGGTTGCATGGCTGCACCTTGCTCTGTGATGATTTGGCAAGACATGTTCCTTAACCCTTCTCTGACTCTCTGGTCTCTGGAATTTTTTTTTTTTGTTGTTGTGCTTTTTGGGTCACACCAGGCAATGCACAGGGGATACTCCTGGCTCTGCGCTCAGGAATCACTCCTGGCAGTGCTCGGGGGACCATATGGGATGCTGGGAATCGAACCCGGGTTGGCTGCGTGCCAGGCAAATGCCCTACCCGCCGTGCTATCGCTCCAGCCTCTGGCCTCGGAAATATTTTTTTGTTTTTGTTTTTGGCCGTACCCGGAGTTGCTCAGAGCCTCCTCCTGGCTCTGCATTCAGGAATTCCTCCTGACTATGCTCAGGGGACCATGTCGGATGCCTGGGATGGGACCCCAGTTAGCCACATGCGAGGCAAACACCCTCCCCACTCGACTGTTTTTTGAACCGCTGGATTTTTTTTTTTTTTCTTTTTGGGTCATACCCAGCGATGCACAAGGTTTACTGCTGACTCTGCACTCAGGAATCACTCCTGGAGGTGCTCAGGGGACCATATGGGATGCTGGGAATCGAACCCGGGTTGGCCACGGGCAAGGCAAATGCCCTACCCACTGTGCTATCACTCCAGCCCCCCCCCTTTTTTTTTTCAGTGAAGAAACTGTGTCTGTTTTGTCTTTGAGTGAGAGAGGACTTTTTGTTTTGCTCTTGGGCCGCACTTGGCTGTGCTCCTGGCGCCGCGCTCCGGGATTACTCCTGGCGGGTCTCAGGGGAGCATATGGACGCAGCACGGAAGGCAGACACCCCACCTGCTGTACCATCGGCCCCCCCCAACCCCCCCGGTTTTTGTTTTTGTGTTTCGGTGGTGGTTTTGGGTTAGACTTCCAGCTCTCCGCTCGGGGGCCCAGTGTGGGTTGGCCAAGTGCGAGGCACGCACCTTAATTAACCGGGCTACTGTTTTATGAGCTTCAGGCTTGCACGTACACCCGTTGCTGAGGGTCTGGGCACGAGGCCCGTGTGAGGGGAGCCTTGGGTGGATGGCCCTGATTGGTTCTGCGTGGTGGGCGGGCAGTGGGGTGACCATAAGCGCCTGCCAAATAGGGCAGCCAGGGTTGACCCTTCTGCTTTGGCCTGATAGCAGGACAGAAGGGGGTGCTTGCTCTCCGGGGCCAAACAGGTGGAGGTGGGCAGCGTGTTTGAAGCGTTGGCGTAGCTTCTAGGACTTGTTCTAGGCAGTGTTGATGTTGCCGTGTCCACCAGTTAGCCAAGTGGAGATTTCCGAGCGCAGTTAAATATTTGGATCTGGAATTTGGGACGCAGGGGCCGGATCAAGAAAGAAGCAGGGACCGTGTTGCCGACAGATCATTTTCAGAACATGATAAGAACAATTTCTGTGGAGTGAGGGGGATGGGAATATGGTTGGAGAATGCCGTGAAGATGATGATGTAGATTTTTCGTTAGTTTTGAGGAATTTTGCTGTAAACCGGGGACTTAGTGCAATGGGAATGGGTCTCAGGAGATTCTTGAAAGGTGGGAGATATTAAAGTTGTAATGTTAATGAAACTACTTCTAGAGAAAGAAGAACAGATGCAGGGTTAAGAGAGGGAAGTTTACATAGGTTCGATCTCTGAGCAGGTGAGAAACAGCAGGTTAATCATCATCCTTTCGAGTAACTCATGTGGTAGTTCCCATTACTTTGTTGGCGTTCCAGGGCTCTGGGTGCTGCCTTCGTTGTTCAGACTTGTTCCGAATGTGGGAGTTCTGCAGCATCAACATATAATCACGTCTAGTTACTCATTAGAAAGGACCTGGATGAGTTGCTTTCTTGCCGTTCCACATTGTGATCGTTGGCCTGTAGCTGAGAAAATGAAATGTTTGAGCACGTGTTACAAATACATTGATCTGGAAACGCTATCCCAGTGGCCTCGAGTTTCAAAATGAATTTGAGAGTCGTCCTGACTTTGGCAGTTTAAGATGAGGATGAAGGTAGTTTGGCTCTGCTCCTGGGGACTGTTATATTTAGGTATAGATGGGCACGCTCTGTTTGGTTAACATGAAAAATCTATGTAGTTAAGCTTTCTCTTAGTACGTTGTGGTTTTGAAATAGTTACTGAGTCCTTTGCTTTTTTTTTTGAGCTAGAAAAGTCACTCCAAATATTTCACTATTTGTGCAGAAAGGGTCTTTTTTTTTCTTTTTTTTGCTTTTTGGGTCACACCTGGTGATGCTCAGGGGTTACTCCTGGCTCTGCACTCAGGAATTACTCCTGGCGGTGCTCAGGGGACCATATGGGATGCTGGAAATCGAACCTGGGTCGGCCGCGTGCAAGGCAAACACCCTACCCGCTGTGCTATCTCTCCAGCCCCCAAAAGGGTCTTTATAAGAACAAGCCTCCATGGTGAGTAAAACACTTGAAAATACATTTTGGGGGCACATGTAAGGCAGTGCTTTTAGGACTGATGGATCCACACAGATCCACGGCCCAGCAAAGTGCTGCTCAGGCCCAGTGGTCATGGGCCACCTGCGGGGGCTGGGCGGGGAGTTGTGGGCATGGTGCCAGGGATCAAACTTGGGGCCTATTTGCACTATTTCATGAGCCCTGAAAACTGAAAATGTGTGTGTGTGTTTTTTTTAATTTTATTGAATCATCGTGAGATAGTGACAAGTTTTCATGTTTGGGTTACAATCACACAACAATCAAACACCCGTCTCTCCACCAGTGCACATTCCCCACCACCAATATCCCCCATATGCCCCCCTTTCCCACCCTCCCCCTGCCTCCATGGCAGACATGATTCCCCATAATCTCTCTCTACTTTTGGGCATTGTGGTTTGCAATGCAGATACTGAGAGGTCATCATGTTTGGTCCATTATGTACTTTCAGGACACATCTTCCTCCCATCTCAACCGATTCCTCCAGCCATCTTTTTCTTAGTGGTCCCTT